AAATTAAAAATTGTTATTTTACGGTGATAATCTTGTTTTCTTGTGCCCAATAATGCATAATTTCATTTGATAAACAGGTTTAGATTGAATGGTAATTTATAATCAGTCACAAGAACGTCGAATCTGAATCACTTGAAAAAAACACGGGGATGATTAACTTTTTTCCAGGTGTATATTAGATTATAGCTACGTACTCTGTTTGCCTGTTTCTAAAATAATATAGATCCAGGGTTTCTACTGGACAACTACATGAATTGATATAAATTTGAAATGACCATGTAAAAAGATATACAACCAAGAAAGTCATTGGGGTTCATGTGGACCCTAGGTGTGCTGATGAGGGTTAAAAGTGATCAATTGAGAGTGAATTTAAAAGTGATACAACTCAATAGGGCAACATAACAAAAAGTAGTAGACCCCTATACAAAAGCACTTTCACAATGTTAAATTGAGTTCAGGTAAATAACTGACATTTTGGGTATAATCAAGTTGGCTAACAAGAATACATTGTTAGACCAAAATAAAATTATGCAAACATGAGGAAATAATGTTAAGTAGTGTATGAAATCAATAATAAAAAATGTTTGATAATCATTTTCTAAAATCACTGCTTTGCTTTAAAACAGCATTCCTGTAAGAGATGAGATGCTGTATTATTATTTTATGAATGGCTAAAATATCTTAATTTTTGTGTACCTTCTGGTGCTTCTGAAGATAACACATTCACAATAAAAGTTGACCCTTACTTAAAAACAGAATTACTACACAGAAGTTCATACAGAGCCAAATGTAAACACTGTCTCGCTTTTGAATATTTATCTTATCTTTGTTTGTACATAAAATATCCTTGATTTAATCCACTTTCTATGTTTCTTTTATTATTGGCACCTGGTTTTGTTCTATATTGGAACCCTCTGGCTGAATGGCTCAAAGGTATTTAAAGTATTTGGAACTGGCCTAGAATAACAAGTTAAAAGAAAATATCCTTATTTCTTACATACTGGGTGATTAATTTGTTATTTAAGAATACAATTGACTTTAATAAACAAGTAAAAACTTCTGAGGTCATTATCTTTCTTCTCTTTGGTAGTTAGGCATATAATTCTGTACACAAACAGTTTTTAGTTAAAGTTAATATTTGTTTTATTAAGATTCATCAAAAAGACACATTGGTGGGACTTTCAAAACACCAGCCATTAGGGAAGTAGCCGTAATACTTGGGCAAATTGTATAACATAAGAAATAAAAGTATAAATGTAGCACATGGTTACTACACTTCCACTTGCAGATGTGTTGCTGTAATATACGTGTTGATGCACAAGCAGCAATAATAAAGTGTGATAGCAACCATGATATGACATGATTCAATTTTTTAGATTTGTGGAGAGGTCAATATCACTAAGCATGTTAGTGCTTAGTTTGTAGAGATAGGCCAAGAAAAAACTAGCTGCCACATTCAAACTAATACTCTATGATGCTTAAGTAACTGCTAGATTAGAGTTATAACTTTATTTGAGCATTTATTTGCCATTATTGAATGTTTCACAGCTTGTGAGATTCCCAGTATTATTGAAAACTGTTGCTAAAGTGGAGAAATGGGAACTAGCTAAAGAGCAATAATGTTCATCTTTCTTTTTCCTTCTCCTATGCTAGCCAAAAAATGTGTGAATTTTTCACAATGGGTTTAGTACGACAGAAAAGCATTTCAAGAGTACTTTGGAACAGGCTATTACTAAGCAGTACTGTGCTTAGTATAAGCTAAGAAAAACAAGATAATTCTGGTGTAAACGATGTTATCATTACCCCTTGAAGTTAGCTTTCTTACAGAAATCTGGAGTTTCTTTAAGAAGCTTAAGTACAGGGTGAAGCAGGAATTACCAGCCAATAATAGATGAAAATTAGACGACTGTGACATATAGAATACTAAATGCTTTGTAAACTTTAGCCAACCCCTATATTATGTATGAAGTGAAGGAGTAAAAAAAAAAAGAAAAAAAAGTCAACACACATAATATATTTTATTACACACACATTCATGGAATATACTAACTTTCAGTCAGGGGAAAAATGTAACAAAACAAGTAATAAAAATCATTTTGTAAATGTAAAATGATGTAGGGATGGCAGTGCCAAAAAAGAATACAAATATGAATATAGGGATGATACAGCTATACTGTGCTGAATAATAATCTATTGTAGCCAACTGTATGGTATAATATCAGTATTGGAGATTATTTTACAAGTGCAATGAAGAATCTGACAAAACTGATATAATATTAACAATATATATTACCATTGAATTATAAAAATAAAATAAATGTTCACTTATCCATCTATTTCAATGAAATTGTTTAAAAAAAAAGATGGAAAACAAGTAATAAGAAAGTTTTTGCAAAAATTAAGTATGATGTAGGGATGGCAATGCCAAAAGTACAGAAACAAGGCATGAATTCAGGTTTGAATAAAAGCATTTAAACTGAATAGTTCTATACAGTCTTACAGTGGCTAATAACCATAAGCTTTTAAGATTGACTCGTTACTTACTGGCTACCTATGTAGTGATTTTTGCATGTTTTGTGTATTCATCCCCACCTTGTTTCTGTACTTTTTTGCCATTATTACATCATACTTAGTTTATGTACAATTTGTTTCATTACTTTTAATAGGTTTAGCTGTATGATGCAAATAAATCAGTAAATAAAATCACAAAAGTAAAATGTTTTAAAATTCAGTGTCTCAAATTCTTGAACACAATACAAGATCAGGCACTTAAATATAACACAACATTCCATATGTTGTCATTAGGTTAAGGCTCAAAGTTTGAAATGTGTGAAGATCTTGTGGTGCAGGCAGACCATTTTGGTCTCCTAAACAACAAAAAGCTGAAGAGTACATTTGCTACACCTTGTAATATATATCTCTTACTACAATAAATATATACAAGCTTTCAAAATTCATTTAAGTATTAAAATTACAATAATATCCATTTCCAACATGGTAAATATGAGGAAATTGAAAGTTCTTACATAGGGTCTCAAGTTTAAAAACAAGTAAAATAATTATCAAAAGATAATATTCATCTGTATTACATCTTAAAGTTACATAAACGTACGTATTACAGCTGCAAAAATGAAATATATGAAGATGGTATTGAAGTCTGAAGCTGAAGCTTATTTAGCAAGATTTTGTTCTAAGTTTTTCATTTTAACACTGTAAACTGGCTAAAGAAATTATACAAATAAAAGATGAAATTGCATAAAGAACTAAGAACGTTAATAGACAGAGAAGTTTAGTGTGAATAACCTTAAAAAAAAGGGTTCTTAGATCTAAAAAAGTTTAAGTGCTCACTCATGAAGGCTAAACTGAAAACATTATTTCAGTACATTTCTACTTGTGAGGTGGTATTCCTTCATTTTTTTAAAATTATTATTATTATGTTTATATTTTATAAACACTGTAATTTGGTTGATTGGTCTCTTGAATTTGTTTATGTATGATGCCAGCTCAAATTCCATTATAAGTAATTGTGAGATTAATTTCATGGTTAAACGAAATGGCTGACACTAGGTGTCTATGATGCCTTCATCACAATAACTTTGGTCATATGTTAAACAGTCTGTCTCTCTATGTAAATCAGTTAGTTCAGATATTTTCCCAACAGCCAATAACTACCATGAATTGAATTGTAATCTCATTATGTAGTAGCAATTGAAAGAGAACTGAAGACTCATTAGCCAGGCACTGGAGAATGACGTTTCAAATTGGATCCACTCACTTAGATCTTGTATTATTGAAAATGGTGTAAAAGCTTCAACTATAACTTACATTGGACAAGTGCTACTTCATCCATCTTTCTCTCCGAACACTGGATTACTTACTGACAGTTTTGTGTGTTTGTTTTTTTATTTTCTTTTAGCTTGATATGTATCAACTGTTGGCACTGAATATATTAAAAACGAAACAAAACATCGCCAAAGCCAAATAAATAGCTCATCTAATGAAACTGGTATCTCATGAGAAGTAGAAGAAAAATGACTTTCTGTAGTTTCAACAATGCTAAATGCTGTATAAATGGTTTTCTGTAAACATACCATGAAAACCTCTAGTTTTCTACTGGCCAGACAGCTAAAGGTTGCAGGGGTGGACATTGTCAAGACATTTATCAGGTAACCACATAAAGATTCTAGTTTCAGAGTGACTACCTGGTCCACAGTGTGGTAGAACTGGCTTGCCCAACAGTCTGTCTCGAATCCTATTCATGTATTCTCGATTCTTTGCCGAGACAATTTGGTGATGGACAAGGGGTTCAGGGTAATCTCTACCCACAATGCAACCTGCCTGTTGTTGTACTTCAAGTGGAGCTTTCCATGGCTGAAAAACATACTTTGTTGGCATATTCTTCAATTCTGGAACATGTTGTCTACCAAAATAACAAGTATAAATAGCACATTCATGAAATATTCATAAGAAATTTCAGATCAATGTTTGATACTTACTGTACATTAAAAAAAGAAGTAAAGAGCAAAGATGAAGTGTATGTCAGCTAAAATATACATAACATGATCAACTAATGATATCAGTTATGACAAGTGGCAAGCCACGTCAACTCAATTACATCACAGGTAAAAAAACATAAACATATCTGTTATGTCGTTTTTGTTCAGGGAGGGAGTAGTTTGAGGAATTTAAAATAAAAAACTTATCCTCCAAGGGATCTATGACACACAAAAGAGTAGAATAACCTAATTGTTTACATAATTTCTATAAAATTAAGTCTATAATATCCATTTATTATAACATCTTTAATAAATGTGTTATTTTGAAGACAGAGCACAAAAGTACTTAAAATAGTTGCACTGTATTTGTAAAAGTTTGTAAAATTACAATAAGTAAGTATGTTTTAAAAAGTGTCTTGATTCATAAGGTGTGAAACATTGAAATAAATTCTTTGTTACATTCTCTATAGCCAGTTGTTTGATTTTTTACAGTACAAAATGGATACACTGAATGTATGAGTGTTAATAATCATATCCGAATTATCATTGTTATTATATATATATATATATATATAAAGAACTTACATGCAAAATGCTTCATATTCAACTTTGCCATTTCGAGAAAATCAGATTCTTTTCTGCAGCTTTAACAAAACAGTTATATGAAATAAAACGTGGATTGTATTTATCAAATACAACCATTATAAGTAATCATATGGCAACCTTAAAATAATCTAATATTATTATTTATAATTTAATTTTTTTATTTCTTTAATTTTGGACAAAATGCTTTGTATCTATCTATAGGCCATTTAAGTCAAGATGCTGCAAATCCATCAATACAATGCCAGTGGAAACTTCATTTGGTTAGGAATGGTGTAAACCCATTGTATATCTAAGCTCTTCATATATATTAATTCACGTATTTTATGACTTTTAACATTTAGTCAATATGATTTTACAGTGCAGCATGTAAATACTCCATGCATGAAATGATGAAGAGATGATGGTTTACATTAATGCTGCCAGGAACTTAATATACATTTAAATATTATATATATAAAATAGCATAAAGTATTCTGTGATTTTTATTACATTATATATTTTTCCAAGAGCTGGCAGTGTCAAGTTTTCTTGGTCTCCTACTGTTAGCAAAAGCATGTGTTAATATAGTGGGAATAATTTACATGGTTGTTATTGTGTGTGGGACTCAGGGTTTGCGAATTAAAGAGTTATATATACTTGTGTATAGAAATTCTGGTTTGAGGTATGTATTTTTAAATGTTTGTCTGCTCATGCTTGACTTCTACAGTTCAGAATTTTGAGGAACTTGTGTGGCTCCCTAGAAATCTACATGAAATGGTTTCTAACAATAGAAAGAATAAGCAAAGCTCCTCATGAAATGCACTGTTAATATAATACTTCTGTCTTGGAGGTAATCTTAATTTCAAGCTGCTAGCACAGATCTTTATGACGGTGACTTAATGAAGATCTGTGATAACAGCTCAAAATGTCATCCAATAATTTCCTAAACAGATGTAGTCCATTAACAACACCTTTCAAGTTTACCCTTCTTCACCTAAATCCTCTCTCTCAAGCAAAAACTGCTCTGTCCAAAAGGCATTGGGCAATATGTTTTCATACTTAACTTTCTCTTCAATAAAAAATAATGTATCTGTATTCACATAACTTCCAGTTTTAAAATCTTCAGGAAATAAAACAGAAGAATTGCAATCAAAATAATTCTTATAGTGATAAAAATACAGACGTAACTACTGCGCCACTGGTTGAGAACTTTGAAAATAGTTTCCTGTTAAATATTTAACAGAATAAATATAGAAGTATTACAAAAAAAAATAATGAAGAAAAGAATCTACACATAAAAGTTTTATATGTTTCAAATACAAAAATAAACACAGACTGTCAGTATGTAGCACATGTACACAAGATGATGCACAAGACACCATCCACAACAACTAAGTCATAACTTAGTACTAACAATTCATTATTTTGTTGTAACATATTCTATCATTGGGGAAGAGGTCTTTTGGATTATTTGGTAAAAACAATGCCAAGTCCAGTCCATGTAGCAATAACCAATTAACTTTTTTTAGTAATATTTGTAACAGGTTAAGTTTACTTTAACACAAGTTGTAGGCTTAAGTCCATAAACAACACCTCAATAGAAACTGTGATACTAAAGTATGCCTAACTTTCTAAGCTTAGATAGATAATCAAACACACTAACTCACCAAGTAACCGTACAGTAGAACAGATATGATAACTTTTAAGTTCTCACAATGAATAACTTTTTTAATATCGAACTCACTCAATTATTATGGATATCCGATATTTATATCATACCCTTGTTTATATTTATTACACGAGGCTTCTCGATCTTAACTTACATCTTTCTAATATATTGCATCATCATTATCATGATTAGCAGCTCCCTCTACCAAACAACGAAATTATAGGATTGAAAATATTGTTTACAAATATACATACATAAAGCTTAACACAGAAATTACTGTATAGCTACCTAATTTCTAGCAAATAATAAATAAAAAGATCTTATGTTAAGTTTCAAGTAATGAAACTATTAGGTCATCAAGAAATTAATATCACGTTTTGGAACACTTTCGTTACCCCCCCCCCAAATGTACATCATGTATAATAGTTAAAGGAACCGCCTAAATGTGTAGCCCTATATAATGTGTAAAGTTCAGTATACTCTAATCCAATATAATGATGGCACACGATGAGACACACATTCAGCATGTAATGCTGTTTGAATACAAGAAGCAAAACAACACCTCTGTTTTGAACATTCGTAAGTGTCAACGATGGTTCAGCAAATTTCTTCAGGTGACTTTAGCCTTAAAAACTGTGATGGCAGGAGCCAACATGTTGGAATTGATATTGATGCTCTGAAGACGCTTGTTGAGTCTAAC